CGGCGGTCAAAGTCCCGTCTTTGCAGATTCGACGCTGTTCCACCACAGAAGGATTCTCTCGGAGATAGTGGATGATGTCGATGTGAATGGGCCTAACCCAAACAGTTCGAAGAAACATTTCGACGGTTGGGCTTACATACCTGCAGACGATATGCAGCCGACCGACAACGCGGAGGTGACCAACGCCCATGAAGGGAACGATGATGCTGGCGGACCAGATTCGGGCTTTACTTTCTCGAATCAGAGCGACGCCGCTATCTTCAGCGAAGTTCGACCACCTCTTGAGGGCGATCACTTGAAGTCTGAGCAGACGATCGAGCCAGACTCTTCAGACAACCTGAAGGAGGTAGAAACTCCAGTGAAACCGACAGCTCTGCCAGACGAACCCAGTCGAAAGCCGAAGTCTTCTCTTTCGGCACTAGCTAAGCCTTTCGAGTTCAACCCAAGACTCTCGAGGTCGTTAGCCTCCTCATCATTTGCTATGCCAGAGAAATCTCAAGGGCTAGAAGATTCTAAATATGCAGACACATCAAGTCCGCCGTCTGAGCTTAAGGCTGCTCTTTCTTCACCACCCACAGATCTACCACATTACGTAGAAAAGGACCACGGATCAGTCAACGACTTAGATGATACTGTCGAAGTCTTCGAAGAGAAGAGTACCGAGGACGAGGCTGTCGAGGTCATTGAAGAGAAATCCACCAGCAACGAACCTGAACCGCCTCGACAGCGAAAATGTATATTGAAACCAACGGAGATTGATACAGAACCTGACGCAGGACCAGACCGGTTTGACCTGCCGGGAACCTCATTGCGACGCGAAGATCAACCTGTGCCATCCTTTGAAGAAATCGATGCTGTTATGAAACACCTTGAAGTCCATCCGGAGCTTGGTGTAGAGCGCAATGATACACCCGTTCAGTCTACGCCACTTGTTGACATGCACATGGGAGGCCACTTCCGAAGCGACGCTCCAAGCCCGAGCCCTGCCAGGCCCCATGACGCCAAAGCTGCTCAGAGCGACACCTCATATCCACCGTCGTACGGATTGGGCATTGGCGTGCACAACCTGAATTCGGGCAGAGACGATGTCAGCGACTGGGGTGACGCGTTACCCGCCCCAGAGGCGGCTAAACTTCAGCTTCGTTCGCAATTCTTTGACGGTCACGTTAATGACTTGGTGGATGGGCTGCTTGAGAACCGTCTTGGACCTCTTGAGCGCACGTTGCAGACCATTCAACACTCCCTGGCATTGATGGCTACGCAGCAGAACCTAAAGAATGATCGCCGGAGTATGTCAGCCGGCCAAAAGGATTCGGACGCTGATGATGAGGATGAGTACGATGCCTTTGAAGGTTTCTCATCTTACAGAACCCGGTCGCCGAAGGCTAAAAGAGGCGAGCGGAAACAAGACCTGATCCGTGCAGCTGTTGCCGAAGCATTAGTTGCACATCAACCACCTCCCCCGCCACAGCCTTCGATCGATTTGACAGAGTTCAACGCCGTCCTGCAGGAGATGAGAGAATTGGCTAAGCAACACGGCTCTCAGAACACTCAAAACGAACTGAAGACAATCATGGAAGATGTCATTTCTCATCATCCCAGACTCCGAGGTTCAAGAGTGCAGCAGGAACATGAAAACGTTGAGACGAAATACAAACCCCAGATTGATGGCCTTGAGACGATGCTGAAAATCTCTCAGGAGCACGCTGCCGAGGAAGCTCGCCTCAGACGGACGGCGGAAGAGGAAATCAATGAGCTGAAATTACGCCTACGCATTGCCGAGGAGGAGGCCGCACAGTTCCGAGAATCCTCTGAAGAAGCTCAGCACACATTGGAGGCCTTCGTCGAGGAGAAGGACTCATATAAACATCTTGAACGTGAGCTGGAAGGCATGACTCTCAAGAATACAGCCCTCGAACATACGCTTGAAGAATATCGTGTCTCAAGTGATCAGTGGCGAGAAGACATCCGCACGGAACGTGCCAGTAACAAAGAGCTTAAGCGCACCTTGCAAGAACTTCATCAACAACTTGTAGACCAGACACAGTCTCGACAAAATCTTCGAACCAAAGTTGAGCGTCTGCAGTCGCAAATCACGCAGGTTGTGCAAGACCTGCACGCTGAACAGGAAGATTGGCGAAACAAGGAACACAATCTGCAGAGTAAACTCGCCGTCCTTCAAGATGCGCTTGAGCAAGAGCGCCGGCACCGTGAGAAGGCGGAACTGGAATTGGACACCCTAGACAAGGAACACAAGGCTAATCTCCACTTCAAGACCGTTCTGGACCAGGCTCAATTGGATGTCTCACGACTTAACGAGTTAGTTGCGTCACTCCAGGAAGAAAACAGGGCTCTGGATAACAAAGCTTTCAACCTCGGTCGAGAATTGGATTATGTTAAGAACAGCAAGGATGCAGAGGTTGCGACATCCACGGCCAAGTTACAGGCCGAACTGGAAAGTGCTTTGACTAAACTCCAAAGCATCCAGGCTGATTCCAACGCTCAAATTTCACGCCTACAAGGCCGTCTAGATCATGCAGAATTAGATCTCGAAGAACAAAAGGCAAGGCATGACGCACTCCTTGCCGAAACTATTGAAGCACACAAAGAGGCTCTTCGAGAAGCTACTGAGAAGAAAGAAACTGCACTGGAGGACCAACATCAAGTTCATGAGAAAAAGCTTAACGAACTACGCGACCGCCACACAAGGGAGCTGCACAATTCGTTCGACACCCGAACGAGACTGGAGCATCAGTTCAAGGAGCGGCTCGGCTTGAGCGAGGACAAAGTGAAGCACCTTGAAAGTAAGGTTGCGGATCTAGAGGAGAGGTTGGAGATCACGAAATCTGCTGCAAGAGCAGCCGTGGAAGCTGCGACTGCCAAAGGGGCAAACCTGCCCACTCCAGCCCCTTCAGTTGTGGCATCGCCACCACAGCGTGCGGCAACTGCTTCTATGTCGTTCGTCAAGGGATCGGATGTGCCCGAGAGGATCTCCCCGCAAGCCCTTCGGGAGTCAATCATGGTATTGCAAGATCAACTGCAGAATCGCGAGCAGAAGATAGAACAACTGGAGTCTGAGCTTGCCGCTGCGGATAAGGATGCTCCCAACAAGCTCAAGGAGCGTGACACCGAAATCAGTTGGCTTCGTGAACTGTTGAGTGTAAGGATCGATGACCTCGAGGACATTATCAATGCTGTTTCTAAAGCCGACTTCGATCGAGACACTGTTAGAGACGCCGCGATTAGGCTCAAGGCGAACCTGCAAATGGAACAGCAATTGAAAGAGCGGGGTACAGGAGGCGGGTTGACCAGTTCCTTCCCGTCAATTTCGAGCCTATCAAGCTATGCTCAATCACCCCGTGCGCTTCCAATGGCGGCCGCTGCTGCTTGGGGAAATTGGCGAAGAGCTCGTGAGAGCTCAATTGGTGCCATATCCGAGCTGGCCACAAATTTAGGAAGTCAGACACCTTCCAAATCTACCATCGGTAGTCCTGCAAGCTTCTTGTCTGGAATCATTACACCGCCAGGTACCAGTCAAAAGACGCCAGGCTCGAGTGAAACAGTGATCCCACCACCGCCAAGCATGAGAAACACAGCCGCAGTCCAGGTGCAAGCTCGCAAACCCGGCGGACCAGAAGCTCGGCCATTGAGGGCATACAGTTCGCAGCCCCGAACACTGTCAAATAGGCAGGCAGATAAGCGCCCTGAGAGTTTGCAGTTAGGATCCAACTCTTCGCCAACTTCACAGCTGAAGATTGATCCACCGCAGACTCCAGTTCAAGCCAGGGATGACGCGAACCTAGATCTTATGGAAGATGTGGATGATGATGCCTCACCGCTGGAAGGGAAGACTGTCGAGCATCTTGAGGAGGCAGAGCCGCTCGCTGAATGAAGATTTCGTGCACAGAGTTCTTGATACGGGGGAGACGATGTGCATTGGTCATGCCAAAACAACTCATCCCCCTTCTTTTTCGATCATTTGGTTTCCCTGGCGATTGTTGATATTATGCGCCTTGCATGGACATGTGTGCGCATGGATCTCACGCGTGGTGCCAACAAATGGAGGAAGTACAGGTTGAAAAACACAGATTGTTTGAAACGAGAACGAAATGCTGAGCGTTGGTATGAGACCATGGCAATTTCTCCTACACGTTCATCCTGCTCACTCATTTTCTGCCTCTCGCCGTGGCGACTGGATTTTGTATAAGAGGAAGAACAATATACCCCCTTCTCTGTTGTGAGCGTCTTTTTGCTACGATATCTCTCTTTTGTTTAGTACTCGGGACGGTCACTTGTGGATAGAATGTTGTCGTATTTACACATAGCATAGCGATCTCGTACATAATATTTTGACACTGAAATATGGCCGGAAAACGCCATTCAATACATTGAGGATGAGTTCCATCGCTGACCGTTGCTCGGAGACCTCGAAATATTGCAGGGACAATTGCCCGCGACGTTTGAAGATATCCTGCGAGAAGGGCGAGCACCATGGATATAGCGAGTCTGCAAGTCCCCACGTGTGCAGCCTCGCAGCCTCGCAGCCTCGTGTGGGGGATGCATTTCGAATATCTGGGGTAGGCCATCAGTATTCTCTTCCTCCACCTCTAAAAGTCGAAGCCTACAGGCAGACAAGATACAGAGTACTGGCTTCCTTCTCTAGGCATTCCCAACTTATCTCTAGGACACAACAGACTGAATCTCTACCAGAATCATTCCGTGGGTATTCGGAGGGACTTCCCCTCGTGTTGTGGCTCTCCCACAGTCGTCATGGTTGTTTTCTTGCCACGAAAAGCTAGTGCCTTATCGACTACGAATCATACACAGTGTGTTTTTAGATGAACTGTGAGCTTCTAGTACCGTTGTACGAGGTATACATCTCCAGACCAACTTCAAAGAAAGCCAACTATCTCTACAACTGGCATACCTGTTGTTATCTCACAAAGCCGCTTGCGAACCAAACAAATATCCAGCCGAGGACTTAACAACCCGTTGTCATGATGGGTACCCGTTTTACGACAGCCATTCTATTGACGGCGATTAATTTCATCACTCCCATATGTACAACCTGCTCGTCTCAATCCCCAGCTTTCCCACCACCGAGTTATTCCGGGTCTCATCCCGAGCTCTTCGAAACATTTGAGCAAATTGAAGAGTCTCTGGCATCTCTGTTTGCCAACCGCTCTGATCTCAACACGTCATCCTACTCAGTCGAGGTTACTTCCCCTCACTCAACACTGTGGTCTGCGTTCCACACGGCCGTCGAGAAAGACCCGGAGAGGCCAGGAGCCGAGCAGGTCGACGGAAGCAGTGTCTACCGCATCGCGAGTATCACCAAGGTGTACACAGTCTTGGGGATATTGCAACAACATGCTGCTGGAAATCTGAGCCTCGATGACACTGTGGATGAGTACATTACAGTTCTGAAGACTCTTCGGTACCGAAGCGGCGGGACTCATAATATTCCATGGGGAGATATTACCTTGAGGTCGTTGGCGAGTCAGCTCTCGGGAATCCCGCGCGATTGGGCGCAGGGCGATCTCATCACAGCTCTCCCAGACCCCAGTGTCGTCGGACTGCCTCCACTGCCTCCATCTGCTCCAGAACGGTCGGACCTCCCAAAGTGTGACGAGTACGGCAAGTACATGCCGTGCAAGGCGAGGGATCTTCTGGACTATCTCCTCGACAAACCGCCCGTGTTCACGCCGAACCAGAAGTCCACATACTCAAATATCGCCTTTGAATTATTGGGACTCGTCCTTGCCAACGTCACGGGGGAAAACTATGAGGATTATATCGAGTCCTCCATCCTCCGCCCTCTAAACATGACATCAACCTCGTTCCAAAAACCGTCGGATTCCGTCGCCGTCCTCCCCAAGGGCAATGCCTGGTACTGGGACGTCGATGAAGGCGTGCAGAACCCCACGGGCGGGCTATATTGCCCTGCGAGCGACATGTCAGTGTTCCTGCGCCACCTCCTGAAAACGTACAGCAACATCGCCAATGCCAAGGTCAATTGGCTGCTGCCCGTCTCTTTCACGCCCGGTTGGAAGTCATTTTACGGCATGCCGTGGGAAATCTACCGCACAGACCGCATCCTCGGGAGCAGCTCGGGGCGAACAGTGAGCTTCTTCACCAAGGGCGGCGGACTACCGGGCTATCGCACGTTGATTCTGCTCGTGCCAGAGTACGACCTGGGAATCACCATCTTCACCGCGGGCGAGGAAACTTTTATCGACCAGGTCATGGACATCGTGACCACTTCTTTGATACGCGGCGCCGACGTCCTGGCGGCACGGCAGGTAGCACACAAATACACGGGCACGTTCCTCGCCGCCGGACCTGGACCTGGCAGCAGGGCCATCAACTCGTCGCTCCAGCTGTCTTATTCCGACACACACGGCCTGGAGGTCACAAAGTGGATCTCCAACGGCACGGACATGCTCTCGGCCATCCCTTCGCAATTCCATTTCCCTAAGGACCGCCGATTCCACGCTCAACTCATCCCCACGGCGCTCTATCGGGATCCCGAACGCAAACGCGGCGAACTGTGGAGGATCACGTTTACTTTTGATCGCTTGGGCGGTGATGTTGATGATTACGATTATGGTGACGACAACGACAGCGATACAATCCTCGATCGTGGGCCGTCGAGATCCGGCTCGAGCTCAAGCTCTGCTCCTGGGGTGTGGGCGGATTTCTGCGTGTCTGACGTGGACACGATGATGTATGCGGGAAAGCCATTGAGCGAGATCGTGTTTTGGGACCCAGATATTACTACGGGACCAGATGACGAGGGGGGTACGGAGGAGGAGACGCTGGGCGCGAGGTATGGCATGGTAGAAATGACTGCTTTTCGGATCAATATGACCCGTCGCCACAGCGTCGGCGGCAGCGTCGTCGGCGGTGATTGTTGCGGTGAGGGTGGTGTTGGTGGTAGCGGGAGCGTGAGTGAGAAGAACGTGCTTCATCATGGCCGTGACCGTGATCATGATCACGAGAAGCTGCTCGTTCAAGACAAGACAAGGACAAGACAAGCGTAGAGCCAGTCCGTGAGAAGGAAGACTTGAGCCGAAAAGACCCGAGTTGAGAAGATCTGGGCTGAAACCTGATTTGAATTGACCCATTACCTGCACTGAGCTGATGGTATACCAGAAGAAGACATGACGAACCTTCGACAACTTCTGCAGGACATCGAGACATAGACCACATATACCCATACCCATACCCATACCCATAACGGCAAAGACGATGATCATCGGGACGGGGGATGGAGTACGAGATGTCGACGGGTAGGGAAGGGACAGAAAGGGGGAAATCAGGCCACAAAAACGAAACAAGACGAGGCGAGGCTATGCATGACAACAGTTTGTGTCTCTCTCTGTCTGTCTATTTTTGGTGATTGAGCCCTTTGAAAACAACAGGGGGCTCACAGGCCAGCTCTTCTTGTTTAAATGTCTAAACCGCTCTGTTTCGTTCTGTCGTCCTGTTTGTCCTGGTTGGGCACGGCCGCGCTTTGTTGAGCTCTGAACTCTGAACTCTGAATACCACGAACCTCCAAACGCCACTAACAAACACACTCTCCTCTCTCACGCACCAGACACTGCATAACCACACTCTGCAGAAGTAACTGAGTCGGTGGGCAAACGCAGAACTCGACCTCGACTGACTCTGATCCTACTTCCCTGTCGGCAAGTCCACTCTCGATCCGTCCACGGCGGTCTCGGTGGCCGTGGTGGTGGCGGTGCTGGTGACGGCGGCCTTCTGAGTGGCTTTCAACACGGCACTGTACAACCTCCCGTCCCTCAGCGCCGCATAGATGACCGAGATCCACGACCCAATCGTCTTGACAGGCCGCTCGTTCAACACGTGCGACAGGACAGGATCTTCGACCTGGCCGCGGTAGAATGGCACGCCCAGCTCCTCGCGCACGAAGCGATAGAGGACTTTCGTACCTTTGCCGAGGTACTCGGGCGTTGTGGGATGGTCGAAGAAGCTGGCGCGGTGGAGCAGGAATGAATTGTACGTGATCTTCTGCAGAGTCTTGACCCAGGCCTTGTGCTCTCGTGCGAATCGCTCAGGGTGAGATCCGTGGTGGGGGAGTGGTAATTGATCAAGAACGTTCAAGATTGGTTCGACCGTGGCCTTTGCGACCTTCTCGCATCGATCCACCGCGTCACTGTTGGCGGTCGCGTACCAAGTCTTACGGATCGCTGCCCATATCTCGCCCGTCAACAGCTGCACCCCGTCGTTTCCTGCCCAGCTTTCAAATGTCTGAACGATGGTTGCTTGGGCAATGTCTTTGAACTGCGCCAGGAATGTCGTGTGCATGGTGCGAAGATCGACGCCCTGGAGCCCGACCCAGATTGCTGAAGCTGACATCAGCTGGACAATCTCCACGCTCTGCATCGCGTAACGGGCCGACACTAAGGCGAGAGAGTTGATGCCCTGATTGTGCATCTCCGCCGACTGCACGTGAGAACTGACCGGGTTGGCCAAGAATGCCAGCTCTGACTGATATGCCGCCATGTTGATGTCGACGCCCTTGGCGCAGAAGGAGAGACTGGGGTCATCCGGGGCGAGGTTTGGTGGCAGCCCGTTGTTGAAGGCTGGATTGACCAGCTCGCTCGTCTGGGCGAACAGCATCTTGCCGATCATCTGCAGGCAAAGCCTAATCCTCTCGGCGACCATTGTCACCGTCGTGGCCTGGAAATTGCCTCCGCAGTGAATCTCGTGGGCCTTGAGATCGACAATCGGGTTGTCGGTCGTCGAGTTTAGCTCGACCTTCAATTGCTCGCATGCGTGAAGCAAATCTTCCAGCAGAGGGCCAACCCACTGGGAGGAGGTTCTTGTGGAGTATCGATCCTGCACGATGCCTTCCTTGTACCGATTTGCATGGTCGAGCCCTTCGACGAGCTTGGAGCCCTCGAAGAAAGAGCGTTGATTCTGTGAGACTTCAATCTGACCTGGATGAGGGCGGATTTCTGCAATGTACGGATGAGTCCATTCGACGTTTCCAGCCAGAGCTTCAGAGGAGAGGCAGGTGATGAGCTGTGAGAGAACCGCAAGGTGGTTCGCCTCATACATGGCAAGGCACGCGACGGCGGCAGAGGGCGCGGTGCCGTTGACCAGAGCCAGCCCTTCCTTTGGCCCAAGGACGACGGGTGAATATTCAATGCTTCTACCATTGACCAGTTGCTTCCCATGCTTTGCCTCTTCCACGTTGAGCCGCTGGATTTCTTTGAACGCCTCGCGAGCGTTTACCACCTTGGAGTCCTTACCTTTGCCGGTGCGGACGAAGGTGTCAGGATTTCCTTGCAGGGCTCCAGCAATGTATGAGAGTGGCATGAGGTCACCAGACGCGGAAATCGAGCCTCTCAAGGGAACAATGGGCGTCATGTCTCTCCGGACAAATTCAACAAGAGTGTCGGCGACTTGCAGCCTGATGGCAGAGTGGCCACGAATGTTGGTGTTGCACCTTATCAGCATGGCACCTTTGACCCAGCCAGAGGGCATGGAGTGAGAAGTGGTCTCTCCTTGGCCATCGCTTCCTGCTCCAAGGTCTTGGCCGGTGAGGACGGCGGATTGTTGATGTTGGATCAAAGCTCGTTGAAGAGCCACCAGCGCGTTGGTGCGAAGGTCTGCGTTGCCTCCAAAGCCGGTGTTGATGCCTGTGACGCACAAGTCAGCCTCAGAGGTGCCGACGAACCCCAATGAACATCAGTGATTTCACCATAGAGCTTGCTTCCGCTCTCGAGATGAGCTTCCAGGATGTCCTGTCCCGCCTCGATGTTGTCCACGAGCTTGGGTGTTTTCTCAATGAACGGCTTGCAACCAAATCTGATGCATCGGGTTAGAAAAGTGCGTAGCTTCTGGGGATTGGAGAGCAATCAACCCACCTCGAAACCGCCACGACGGTGGCGATATCAAGCTCATGTCCATTTATCTCGACTTCACCTTCTCTGACCAGGGTCTGGACGCGGTCACCGAGCTCCAATGTCGCGTTCAGATGTGGCGTCGGGCCCCTTTTGCCTGCGCGAGCCCGGCCGGGAGACGGCGTGTTCACCGTCATTATGTCCGAGGGGGGGTTGACCGTGTCAGCAGTAGGAGCAGCAGATATTGAACAAGATGGCAGGGAGACCGTGTGTATTAGAGTTATGGAGAGGAAAGGCAAAAGAGCGTTTGATGCAAGCACTTCGCTTGGCGCGATGTGGTGGGTAGTGGCAGGGGGACGCTGTTGGGGCAGCCTTGCCGACCATCACCCTCGTATTGGGCCCGCTCTCTCCTTTTTTGTAGCGTTCTGTACGGAGGAGCACTGGGTACAAACATGCGATTTCGCCCATCCTCGCCATGATACAAGTACAATGGGCAAAATGGGGTACCAAAGGTACTCTCCCGTCACATTCACTTGATGTTCGCGGAATGGGAGCAGACAAAGCCACCTGCCTGTCACATTGTCATGACAATGGCATACTGTTCTTCTCACGCGGCCTGGAAGCCAGTCTGATTGAGAAGACAAACAACGGTCCACATAGGCGAGTGTTTGGACATGTCTGGTCGGACAGGTGCATGCGTATTCGTTCCGCCGCGGCCTTCCGAACACCAAAACAACGAGATTGGGCCGCTTGTTGACACGTTGCTTTCAAAGGAAAGAGGGACAAACACGCTGAGAAAGGGACAATTAGATAGGATTGCCACAAGGCTGGGGCTGGCTGTACGCCAAACACTTATACCCACCTTTGGCCCTCATGGAGGCTTTGGGCTGCTCCTTGCGATAAACCACGGTAGAATCTCCTGCTGAACCGGAAGCATTGAAGGGTTGGATCTTGGGTAGAGGTGCTTTCCTATGGATTGAACAGTAGGACAGTATTGTGTCGTACATACATGGAATCGAGATATCAGTCGCATGCCCTTCTCCGACAGCCCCCAGACTCGTGGAATATTGCAGCTCAAGCACACTTGTATATGACCTCCAGCCCAAGACCAGCATACCACCACGCTTCGTGAGCGGAGCGCAAATTTGTTTCCGTTGTCACGTTCTTTCCCCTGCCATACTTGGGTCGACCTTATGTCCGGCAACATGTATATCCTTCCTATTCGACCAGATGGATGTTATTCCAACAAGTATTGAGGCCTTCTCCCCCAAGTCCAGTGTTCCATCTCGTCAGCAAGTGTTTTATTCGACGTCGAACATCAGCCCAGAACCTTCACTCTTTGCATCTTCCTGCGTGTTGCCTCCGTCAACTTCAACAATGATCTTTCCCTGCCCTTCTTCCATCTCCTCCAATCGTCTCAGCTCCTCCTCGGTAAGTTTCTGGCGCTCGTCGAACTCCTCATCAGCCAAGTCAGATGCATCGTCCTCTTCCTCGTCAAGCTTGACATCTGGCATCTCTAGAGGGTTTTCCGTCATGGCGTGTGTTTCTTTGTTTCTCGCTACCTCGTCTGCAACGGTGTGGAAGGGATGATCTGATGTCAGTACTTTTCGTGTACAAATGTATCCCATGGCTATATATGTGAAGCTCTGACCTCGGCTTCTGGTGCCGAGCTATGCGTGGAGGAAGATCAGCACCTTTGCAGCCTTTGTTTTAGAAACCCGTGCCTGCTTGGTTCTGCTGTGCCATCCGTGGTCTGTTGTCGTTCATCCGCAAGTGGCTGGTTGTCATCGGAGCTCTCTGTTTCATTAATTTGTAACTCTTCGGTTTTCGAACCCAGTTCATTGTGAGGTCGAATCAGCTGGCTATCCTGCAGCTCTAGGAACACCCGGATTTGCTCGAGCTCTTCGAATGGGAAGTAAAGGCGACCAGCGAAAATGCCAATCTGAATCTTCAGCTAGGACTGTGCAGACGACCCGATGGGAGCGGGTGACATGGCGTAATAATTCAAGTCGTTGAATTGGAGCATCTTCTGCGTGATAGGTGCGGCATAAGTCAGCAGATAGACCACCTTCTTTCGGGAGCCTTGACATAGGTAAACCAAGAGTTCTGCTTCCTTGGGGCTGACCAGAATTTGCTATTTCGGTGGCCATGCTACAGAGAATATAATGAACAGGTCGATGTGTTCAATGTCAGCAAAGAATTGCGAGACAAGGATCATACTTAGCAAGAATGTGTCATTAGGTCTCCCAAATGGCACTATTACCGCACGCCGGAATTCTCCTGAAACAAGCAGATTAGGGGTCTCCGGGAGGTCTGCAGGATACTTTCGGCCTGTCTCCGTCGGGGCCATGTATGAGAATGCCCTTTTGCAAGTCATGTCGTCAGGCCTTAGAGCTCCGGTCAGGGCAAAGTCCCTGATCTCCGTGGCGAGTCCGGAAAACGTCTGAGGATGGAAATATAATGGATTCTGTCTTTTGTGGATCGTTTCTACTTCGACGGCGACTTCGCGCTCCTGCTCAACATCCTGCAACGCTGAGGCGTGAACCGCATTTTCTGTGTCCTGAAAAGCCTTTCGTCATCATTCTAGTTGCTTGATGTGCGCGGCAATACTCTCGTCAAACTTTTACATCCCGAACACGTTTTTTGGCTTTCTCTAAACCTGACTCAAACAAAGCTTTCAAGGAGAGCTGTGCGTGACTCTGGAGAGCATCCAAATAAGCAATACGCTCAGCTTCATCTAGCAGGAATAAAGAATGGTCACGCTCTGCCTGTGTTCGGTGGCAGTAGTTTACGCCTTGGGCATAATAGAGTGGTTGGAGATTTTCCAGACCCTGACAAGTCTGTTCCAGGAGCCAGCACACTACATCATGGGAGGTTATATGCCGGCCTTCTCCTCTGGTATGGAAATCAAGGATCGATTGATGGTCCTCGGGTGGTGCAAAAAATGTGACAGATTGAGTAGTTGCCAACTGCCAAAGACGCATAACGGATTGAAAGGTGTGATCCTTATTTTGACCAAGACTGAGCGTCAATGCGCCCCGAACCATAGGTGGGAACTTATGTCTGTGGCCCGGGTGTGAGATTCGTCCAGATAAACCAGACAGCCACTCAGATCATCTGCGAATGGTGAAGCTAGCAAGGGAATCTTCCTCCCAGATCGAGTCAAAATCATGGCCTTGTTCTCGCCGTCAAAGAACACAGCAGCTGTCGCCTCCGTGTCGATGTCAAGCCATATCTTCGCTAGCGTGACATTTGTCATCTCCAAAAGCGACTCGCCAGAGTCGATCAATACGCGGATTCTTTCATGACATAGCTTCCCTAAAAGTTCGGGCTCGGTCATTCTCCGGTAGACAGCTTGTCCATGAGAGTTGTCTCTCCAACCCGCAAGGCTGTATTCTCGGTTCGGATCTTGCAACAGATAAGTCAGCACTTCGGAATTGGTGTGCGACAGTCCTTTCAGATCATCCTGTTTGATAGTCAGAGGCAAACACAAGCGGTTGCTGTTGGTGCCATTAAAGCCTGTAGTAAGGCTGGTTCTGTTGCAAGCCAAGGGAAGATCCCATCCACTAGCCTGTAACTTGACCTTAAACTGCTTCGCATGTTTTGGAAATACGAAGTTGTTGAGGAAAATGGTCGATTACCATGGTATTGTGACGGACACCACACCAAATCTCGGTCAACTGAGGGTTATCTTCAATGTTGATGGGAGTCCAATCCCGGAGTCGGTCGGAGAGTCCATTAGAATCTTAGGTCCACCGCTCAAATTCTCGCGCCGGATCGTCCGATTTAAGTACCTGCTCCAGACTCTGTTTCAATTGCTGCGGAGACAATCCTTGATAGTAAAAAGACAGACAAGTGAATAGCAACGACACATCAACGTAACCCCATTCTGCAAGACGTGACGGAATGCTTTTGGCCAGATATGGTACAGCCACCGGGTCTCGAAGAGGATGATGGAGACAATATTGGACGTTCCATCGTCTGCTTAATGTTAGGATGAGTATTCGATAAACAAGGAGGGCCCGAAGAAGATAGATGACATAACCATCGGCTTGACTGCTTTTGTGAATGTCCGAGATACATGTTATAACAGTCTCTTGCGGTCTCGCCTCTGTAATGAATACCTTGATTGCCTGCTTCTCACATGTCAAGAAACTCTCAACATTCAACAATGGTGTTCGACCACTGCAAATGTCAGTTGCTATCCGCTGTATCAGAGCGTTCTGAACGTCATTCCGGAGGAAGTAGATGAATGGGAATCCTCCCGTCTCACGGTGAACGATCTGAATGCTAGATTCATAGGACCGCTCTAACGAATCGCGGTGGGATGTTGCAACTTTGAGGATCATTTCTATGCTCTCCCACTGGTAGTTGCCGCCATCCACGGCGATTTGCGGGCCAGACGGACAAATAAGTTGCGTCTTGACCGCCATTGTGAAATCACTCTCATCAAATACATCTTTGCTCTTTTTGGCGAGCCACTTCTATACTTTGATCATTTGGGTGGCTTCCTAGGTTTTCCCGTCCATCAGTCGCTGTTGACCGGAGAGCATAAATGACATGATGTGGCCTGGAAGTGCTATGATAATCCCCGGACTCTTGATAATGGCTTTGTGGATCTTTCCCTTTGAATATTCTCTGGACTCGAAGGAGTGCGACGGGAGAGAGGCACATGGCCTAGTTCTCTACCCAAGAGCCCACCAAGTCGTGATTGCAGTAACTGGGCAGTCTGCAATAGCAAGGCTTTTGGGACGACAACTCTGCACAGCGACTGTCCATTTGATAATACGGAAGTCACTAGAGGAATGATTGTCGACGTCTTGCCTTGGCCCATGTTCAACTGCAGTACGGAATTTTGACCGGATGGTGGCGAGATGGTCGCCAACGCGACCTCGACTTGTATTGGTCGGATGAGAATGTCTGCATCAATCTCCAGAAGCAACCAGTCTGGATACTCTTTGGGATCTCAATTTGTATGGCCTGGGCTTTGCACTTCATCATTGAGGTGTTGGCCCTTGTTGCGAAGAGATGCATCTTGAATACGAAGAAACCGCTGTAACCAAGTGACTTCAACACCAAAGTCCACAACTGCAGCCCGCATTGACATCGTCAATGCGACAGGATTTATGCTGCGTAGCGTCTCAAGAACAGAGACATACGTTGCCAAAGGCCAGAGTGCAATTCTACACAGCCAAAGTCCACCTGGCTCGTCCTTTTGGAAAGCTCTTATTAACACGACCAAGCGTGCACTTACGGCATTCTCCGCCTTTGCGATGAATTGATTTAGCCGATCCAGTAAATCACTGGAATTTTCTCAAAAGGCTGTGATCGATAGCCCTCGAGGGCTGTTATAGAATCGAGAAGACCGCGAAGGTACCCCTGCCTGACAAAGGACTTCGAGGTAGACATTCGCTGAACGATTCGTCTCAATCCACGGATGTCCTGATGCGAATGACTGGCGGGCGTCCTCGCTGCGTGACAAGAAGCTCGATTTTGAACCTTTGTTTGGTGGGCTTTGACCCTAGGCCCGTCCTTTTTGAGTAGGTGAGGGCATATCAAGGGGAATCCACGTGGTACAGTTAGTGATGGAGCGTGTTTGGAAAGGCCTCCTTCTCTTAATGGTTCGGGCGAGCGATGCTTATCTAACACTTCCTGAACTTGTCGCATATGTTCTTCGAACTTGTGATTCCTAAACATGGCATTCCATTCCACTGCAATCAACGACGATGCCTTCTCCAAGTCTAAGATGTCGGTTGAGAACCCATCGAAATTTGGTAGAGGACGGGGCCACTGATCGCACAAGAACTCTGCGAGAGCGACCAGCCGTCTGGCGACACTGACTTCGTGTAGCTTTCTTGCAGATTCAGCTGCTTTTCTTCCTTTTTGATTCTGGGATTGCGCATTTGCGGGCGGGGACGGTTGAGCACAGGGGGTTAGCAGTTGTCTCAGGTAGTCAATCTTTGGGCGAAATCCTGGACGAAATTGCGAGTATGACGGCCACGATGGTAGATCGATAGTTTTGAGGTCGTCAAGGATGGCGAAAGCGATCAGAGTTGGGATAGCTCGCATGTTTATCTCTTCTCCGAAACAGATCAATGCCGTCAGAAACATGAGTTTGTACTTTGCTTCCGGGCCGCAGCCTTCCATGCGGTAAAAGTGGACCAGTTGGCCCCACATGGAAGCCAGGTCGATATCCAAGGCAATCAATCAGATGCAACAGTTCATATCTGGCAGAATCATCTCCATAGCCGCCAATAGACTGCCAGTTCTGTAACATCAAAAACAAAACTTTCGTCAAAGGTAGCTTTTCTGGCCATGTATGAATCAAGCGGGCTGCCTGGAAAACATGCTCTTGGCTTTTTCGATAGTCGTGATATCCACGCGGGTTGTAGAGAACGTCTGATCCACATTCGGGAGTAGCAACCAGCATTTGGGACGGTTGATAAAGACCTTGACGCGTTCGACTTCTTCGTGAAAGATGGCTGTTGGATTCTTCTGTATTGATGCTACCCATTGCCCACAACAGTTCCTGGATGCCCGGTGCGATGTTATCATTCGTGTTAAGTCGAGCAAGCAGGGTAGACTTCTGATTGATCTCTGCAACAAGAGGGCGATATTCATCATATTGTATGTCAGAGGTGAGATCTTCGTTCCACGACACTTTTTCGAAGACTCGCAGCCCTGGCGGGTAGAGCTGCCGTACTGGAGCCAACTTTGCAATGGCATCAAGGAGCATTCTACTTGCATCACTGAGCGGTGCGTATTGTTGACAGCTCCGGGATTGCAGAACAGGGCACGCCTCCTCAATTCGCGTCTTCTTTGTCAGTGGATCTGGAATAAAAAATGAGGTGTATGCGTGTAATAATGTCTTGTGTAAAAGAGTCGGGGTTCAGATGCACAGGTCACCCTTCCTAGTACGCTATCTAGGAAGTAACGGGCGTAAACAGGATCGCTGTTTCAGATCTCGAAGTTTGCATGAATCCCCCTGCGCGTAGCTGTCGGAAATCCTAGTGGCACGACAACACTCCGCCGCCTTCGATTTTGTACGTCGCGCAAGACAATCTTTGATGCAAGTCCATATCAAGTTCCTGCATCTTGATTCGGATCGATTTCTGCTCGTAATTGCTGGCTTTCCAGGATGCCGTTGTGATCCACAAAGAAATGAGCTCGAAGCGGCGAGGCTCGACAGTAATGGCGCGTCCGGCAGGTTGGTACACCGTAATGCGTCGCGGATCCTCAAATCCTTTAAAGATGCTCAGCAAGCGTCGTTCAATTTGGCTCAACAGACGTCTGCGAAAGCTAGCATCACGGAAGACAGCATTTACCACATGAAGTGGGTCCCTTCGAGGTGGGCCTGTTCGGCAAATCAGGGCTTGAGTCAAAACCATAACTGCCTCAGAGCTGAAGTTGAGGTTCGAGGAGCCCAGCTCAACAAGAATTGTTTGCCGTAGGCGGCGGCCTCCACATATGAGTCCTTGAAAGGCCAGAAATTCCGGGAGACCAATAGTCTGCGGGCACCGAGGGAGGCCAGCAAGGATTCCGTTGAACGTAATGTCAGCATCGACACTCAAGAATTCGGCAGAGGCTCCCAAACGAGTCTCGCTTGCGCCTTTGGCAGACACGGTGTTGCCATTGGCCGGTAAGATCCTAGAAGGAAAGTCGATTTTGGCAAAGGGGCTGGGCGGCGGGAGAGGAATCTTGCAGTGGTGGTCAATCGCGACTCTGTGTAAATGTTCGGCAGGCCACACTTTCCGAGTACGATCGTAATATTCAAATCTCAGGCCATTGTTGACAGTAACTGTTTCCCAGGCGATGGAAAGTGGCTGAACCGGTAGTGAGTCTGCAGGAATGATTTGTTGCGGGAGGCTAGAGTCACTCCTTTCTTGCTAGCGTGTGACCGTCGTTCATACCGAAACTCTGCATAATAACCTTCTACCAAAATGAGAGGTTCCTTATTTGGTTTGACATCTGGAAGGCCAAGACTGGCGGCAAATTCCACGTAGCACCGCGATATGCAGCGTAGGCAGGTGAGAAGAGCCGTTCCAATAGTACAGATGTTCCCTTGCCGCGGCTTGGAGGCATTGCCTTCCCGACTCTTTCGATCCGCATTCTAGCAGCTGCCTTCTCCATCAAGCATTTCTTGCATTGCTCATCTTCCTTGGGAATCAGGGGATCGCCGACGAGGGTATGTTGGTGAGCGGCAGTGGAAATATCTCTCATCAATTGTTGATGTCTTGTATTTTTCTCTGTCCACTCAGTCTCTTTCTCCCGCTTTCGTTTCTCTTCTGCCCGCTGTCTATTTTACTCCAGTCGATGGATCTCGGAATTCGGGGGAAGACTTTCGTAAAAGCGATCAGCAAAACAGCCGGAGACAGGAGGATCCAAGCAGGTTTGCGAAAAGACGGCATCTGAATCTCACTGAGAAAGATACGTCTGGATGTCCTTGAGGCGACAGAGGTTAGAATAGGAGGATAGCCATAAAAAGTCAAGAATATGTGGGGCGAAGACTGGTTTGAACCTTGACAACACGGGCAGAAAGCGACATAACATTATCGTTCGAATCATACAGCTTCGATTCTTCCGTGCCGACCTCGAATGATTCGATCGACTTGCCGAGATCTGCTCTGCAAGCTGTACGCTGGAATCTGCCCACGTTCTATGGTTGGCAGGAATGACGGGTCCCTTTTGGGTCAAGATATCTGATTCCATCTGTGCGAGCTCCGAGTACTTTTCAAGGAACCGCAGCAGGGCGGGTCGCGTAACATATGCGCCTCCAGGCATAGTTTTGACGAGGGGCTGCTGACGCAACTGGTCCAAGTAAGGAGCGTTATTTGTCAAGCTGAGCCGCACATGCTCTGGTCTTGCCGCGCGGGTTCCGAGAGGGGTGATTCGACGTTGAATCTTCGATTTGTAGTTTTCACAGGCATTTAGGAGTCGGTCGGTCGCATCTGTTGTTGCTTTGATGAACAGAGGACGAAGATTTTCCAGAAGGACATTGTATGCGACCGAGATTCTGATGTCTGCAGCAGCCGCAAGAGCCCGTCCTCTAGTTTCGCGATTCGCCGACCAAGCTTTCTGAACAAGAGATGAGCGAGTTCCGGAGCCTGAGAATCAACTACCGGCCCAGCAATTGGGCGTGCAGAAAACACATCAGGGCTTTGTACATGGCGTTTGAAACAGACGGGCATGTCAATTGCTCCAGATGACGCAAGATGCCAACACGCGGAAGCAGCCAGAACGGCGATCTCCTCCGTGGGATGCCCGAGTCTTTCCAGCGAACTTCATTTCTGACACGTTTGCGGATGGGCTTGTAGTGGGCAGCTGGCCGAGGCCCTCCAGTAATGTGATCAACAGGCCTGTAACCAAAGCAGGGTCATTGGTATCCCGTGCCTCAGGGGTTGGAGACTTGGCCCGAGAATGCTCGCTCCAAATTTATCGACTCTTTCGAAACTCGCTTTCTGTAGAAATTTGGCAAGATTTTGCTGGAAGTTTTCGTCTGCAAAGACTTTGTTTGGAATGGCTGCGGCAGAGGTAGGAAAGTCCCATTGTAGTGCGCCTAGGGATTCGAGGACATTTTCTGATTTTGCAGACTTCGAAGGCTTCAAAAATGACATGCTCTTTCAACTCGCTGAAAACCTTGTTAGAACTGTAGCGCAGGGTATCTTGATGTGGATCTTGCCTGGTGCCATGTCTTACCAAGAATCCCGCGTTCTGCTCGGAGACATGGACAATAAGGATCTCACTGACCTGCAGTCTATGAAATGTCTCGCTGCAGTTGCAGGCTGTCGCGATGTGCAGAGGCGTGGATATTGTAACAATGATCTAATGAGCTTTGGAGCAGGCGCAGCTCTTGTTGGAATTCGCCTTTGGTGGCGCTGTCCAACTCCATGCAGGCATTCTGGACGCGTAGCAGAAGCTCGCGGCTAACCTTGGCAAGGTTGTTGTTGACGTTGTTAGGTAGATCCGGTGGCAGGACTAGGTGGTTGACGATCGCACGAAGCAGTTTGGCAGAGGGCGTTGCCGTGGTTATGAGCTCAGGTAGGTTGTGGGCAGAGAACCCAGTCAGAAGGTCTCGAGAGATGAATCGTGTGCCCTTGGTCAATATTTGTCGTCTTGAATCAGCCTCGAAATGCCTTTTAGGCCGGTTTTTGGATGTCGCTCTCAATCGGCGTGGTCCTCTTGGATGGTGAAAGAATGCATTGTTGACATCCGGGTAGAAAAGGACTTTGTCAGTCGTGAATTGACAAGGATGAGATGAGCGAGAGGGTCGAGCGAAAATGGAGCGCGGCTTGGGGCTGCCGCTCTAAATTTGCATGAAATATGCATGCGCTGTAACGGGGTCAATCGCTGTGAAGCGTAGGTACTGTTCATGCGAGACACGTGATGTTTTACTCCCGAACCAAGAAGCCTCTGGCAACGTTATCATACTCTCCCATGGCGTCAAAAAATTGGGGGATGATAATGAAAACCAAATGCATGAAGCCGCAAAGCCAGCGGTGGCGACGGCTTCCAGTTGTATTCCAAATCAAACAGCATTGTACCGTGGCCTTGATGGGACTGTGCAATGTCGCAGCCTTGCCTCTCCCGGCGCCTCTCTCTCTCCTTCACTCACAGTCCGTTCGCGTTCCTCACATTGGAAGCCTGGACCTGGACATTTGAAGTGAGCCTAGCAATTGCTTCATGTCCATATCTTCACAGTCAACATGCCAAACCGGTGGCGGGGTGTATGATCAAACTGCGTCGAAGCTTTGGATGCGTTTGGCTGTTGGAAGCTCATTCCTCTCCAGCCCCCTTATGGTACCCATGCCCCCGCCACCTGCGGTAACTGACAGCTCGCGTGCCGTGTTACCTTGTCGAGACAATACCCGTGGGACATCACGCCCCTACATTATAGTCAGACGAAGCCAAGGAGGGATGCATCGATGGATATAGAAAGATGGCAGTTGTGAAAGTGGCTCTCTCACGGAGCAGGATGGAGCTCAAGAGCTCAAGCTCTAATAACTCTTCGGCCTGTCTTCGGGGGAGTTTTACCATAACTGGCGACTCAGAGAGCCGGTGGAGCAGGTGAGGGGAAGCTGCGGGGACGACAAGCGACCAGTGGGCAGCGGTGGAATGCCCACCGATGCCGGCGAGTCCGGCAAACACCGTCCCTGCCATCCAGCACCGGCTCTCCAAACATCTATATACCCATGCCACACTACTACGTTGGATGTAGCGGACACTCACCATCAAAGACCGGTTGCAGCCATGCCTATCTACCACATCGGTGAGACCTTCATACTGCACCTCTGTTGTTACCATTGGCCTCGACGAAGGCGCTGACCGACCCCGCAGTTCTATTCAAACTCAAACCCGGGGTAACGCCCGCTCAACTCTCAGCCTGGACCACGCAGGCAAAGGCAATGGTGGGCAAAATCCCAGGCCTGAGAAAACTTGAAGTGAATACTCCTTTGCCCTCAACGGCGCACAGGGGTCAAGGATTCAATATGGGACTGGTTGCGATCCTAGACAAGGCGGATGATGTAAAAGTCTACGCCGAGCACCCTGCTCATTTGGAGTATGTTCTGATCACCTCAACTCTCACCCTGGTCCAGATTGTGTTCTTCAAGGCATTTTTGGGAGCCTCCTAAAAAATGGTTCAAATTGATCTACTGTTGCGCCTGTGCTGACTGCGTTTGATAGAGTGCACAAATTTAGAGAGGAACTTTGTGACGATACCCTGGCGTATGACCTTGAGTTTCAAGAGTGAAGTACTGGAAAGCAAGGCCAAAGAAGAGTCTTCGCATAAAGAGTCTTGATGTAGTTTCGAACTCACCACTGAGTACTTGGTAGTTTATAAGGCTACAGCCGTCGATCCCAGCCCTACGCGGTCGTGCGTTGAGTGCAACAAAATCCCGCGTACTTTCGTCTTCGTCGCAGGAGTATGCGATTGAGTATGGTCACTGCTTCATGTCATATCATTGGAAGCAGTGATTCTTCGTGATCAGATGCCTCGTGCCACATTTCCCTGCTGTGCGCGCGGCAGAACCATTATCCGGGCGGACGCACAGACCACCCTCAGCGACTCGATGTCGATACGATCGAGCCTCGCCTGTCATCCTTCTTCGCTCGCTTGAGCCCAACCAACTGCAACATCTCAGTCCAAAATCCAACAGGAGGCGAGATGAAGGTGGCCTCATATGCGTCGACAATTGGTCGTTCCCAGACAAGATCGGCCTCTGAGGCAGATACGATCTTTGTACGCTTGATGAGTTTCCACCCCATGTAAAGCACAGGAGCCACGATGACCATTGTGTAGTATGAGAAGAAAGTCCCAACGTCCCAGGGCGTAAAACTGGAGTATCCGTAAAATATGACGATCAGTGTCATCCAGACCAGCCCAATCCATCCACAGTAAGGTTGGAACCATCCAGTATAAGGGAACGTATTTCGATCGACGCCTTGAGCCATGCAGGCGCGGTAGAAGAACAGATAGGTCACGCACATGACGATATAGTCAATAATGCCACCAGCCGTTATCAAGTTGATCAGCCACGTCAAGACTTGCGATGAGCCGCTGGATACCTGCAGGAAAGACAGGAGTGGGAACAGCATGACAACGCAGAAGGACCAGATAGGTACGCCGTTGCGGGTGCACTTGGTGAGAAATTTGGGAGCTCGGCTCTCAAGAGCAAGACCGTAGAGACTGCGGGTTGCGCAGTAGGTATAGGTGTTTCCGGCGGAGAAAATACTGGTGACCAGTAATGCGTTGGTAATGTGAGGCAACACTTCGACTTTCAAATTCTTCATGGCAATGACATAGGGCGAGGCAGCGGCGGTACCACCGCCAGACTGAGTACCATTGACAATGGCGACGAGGGTCGGATCATTATAGGGTATTACCACCCCGACGCATAGCGAGCCAAGGATGAAGAAAAGGCCGAACCGCCAGTAAATGGTCTTGAAGGCCTTCTTGATGTAGATACGAGGGCGTTTGGCTTCAGCGGCCACCATGGCTAGATATTCCGGACCCTGAGGTACGAGATGTGTTAGTGATGTTGTTATAAATCAATGAGACCTCGGAGATGACGTTCTGCCATCTGAGGAGTATAGTTCGAACCTACCACAACACAGAAAGAAGCGCTCCAGAGGCAGGCTAGGAAGCCCTCAAATCTCCCTAAGGCGCCGGTTGTATGGTATTCCGCCATTGGGCCAGGGTTATTCCAGTAGCGGAAGCCGTAGGCATCGTGACGAGGATTACCTCCAACCATAGTGATAAAGGTGAACATGAACAACATGAAGATCAGAATGACTTTGCCCCCCGAGAGCCAGAATTCGGCCTCTCCGTACGCCCTGACAGCCAGGATGTTTATGAGGCTAAAAAATGAGGATTAGTACATAGTACATGGCCGCGCGAATGCCAGTAGTTCTTACGCGTAAAGGACAATACAGGCCGCACAGACGGCGGCGGTTGGGATGTCGTCTCTCCAAAACGATAAGACGAGGTTGAGAGCAGTGATCTCGAATGGAATCAAGAGGGCTTCATAGAAGAAAAAGTTCCACCCGGCCATGAATCCAAAGGCGTCATCGACCCATTTTCCAGCCATCCGAATAAACCCCCCGGAAACTGGTTGTAAGCAAGTCATCTCGGCCATACAGTTGTTGACGAGGCCCAGCATCGCCGAGTATATAGTATAGGCAAGGAACAACGAGAGAGGGCCTCCCTTGGCAAGTCCACCGCCGATACTGACGAAGAGCGCTGTGCCGATCGAGCCTCCGATTGCAATTAACTGGATTTGCCGGTTATTGAGGCGTCGTTGTAGCTTGTCAGCATTGTCTGAGACTTCGCCAGGTAGCACGTCGACGTATGCGGTTTTCTCTCCAGGGACGGCATTGTTGGCATCGATATACTTGATCTCTTTGTCATCCATGGTTGTCGAGGGTTCCAAATGTCTTGTGGGGGAGCAGACAAATTGAGAGGACTCTGGATCTGGAGGGAGCGGTTGCCACGCAAGAGAGCAATTCTTCCCTATATACACCAAGGCAACGGTCCGAGCCCAGCCTCTAAATCTCGAAGAGGCATGTCACCGCAGAGCAAACCCCGCACCTCACGCGACCATCGACAACAGTTTTGCCGATCCAGGCCAGAGTGACACCAAGGGTAAAATGAGCTGCATCGCAAAATCCTACCATCTATGGTGGAGCTTTCCGGCTGCAACGGCGAACCTCAGGATGAAACGAAAGCATTGTGGCAACCCCAGAATGCACCAAAAAAAAGTCAAATAGAAGTAGAGTAGGGCTGGCATCATCCCTACAGAAATAAGGGAGCAGGAGGAGGAGCACTAAGTTCGATTGAGCCTCGTGCAGATCTCGACTGGGGTTGATCTTACGAGGTACTGGGGCCGGGAGTCGCGATCGGCCTCCACCGCCGGAGGATACAACGGGACGAAGTGCCCTGGTCCATGGGTGGTCTTGAAAATTTTCCCTGCAAGATGGGGTGTGTCTGTCGTTGGCCCAGAGATTGCCAGTGGAACTACTATCTCTTGGCCCTGCATGCCAGGTTGGTGTCAGGGACTCGAGGACTCGGGTGGAATTGACGTCGAAGGCTGTTGAGAATTCCACAAAGAACTGTGGCGCGCGGAGAAACGAAGTCTGTCGGTTTCGAAAGTCTTGGCAGCTTTTTCTTGGATGCTCATCGGGGAACGATTTACGTAACCACCAATCAAAGCCAATTGCGGCGTGGGATCTGCCAAGGCTGATCGTTCTGGGCGCTTTGCGGGTGCGTCAAAAGTCAACCGCGGGCAAAGACCAGGAACAGTCGCAAAAGAACAAGGACTGCGTGGGCGAAAACTGGCGACCAAACCCATTTTCGCCTTGAATTCTTGAAACTTTAACATGCTCACCTACTACCACTACTCGCCTAGTTCTGATTGGATGCGATAACCGTGGCAGCGAGCGGCATTGTCAGCTGACCGGCTGACTGGTTGCCGATCCCGTAGTCCGTCCATCTTTGCCCGATGAGAGATCCTCGGATGGATCGAGAGGTTTTCGGGTTCTAGCTCGATGATATCCTTTGCGCGGGGAAACACATCGAGACGGCATCATTCAAGTTTCTCCTCTTGCTCGGTAATAACAGAACTCCGGTTATACTACCGGCTCGACAGATCTATGAACCCCAAAGGGTGGCATGGAAAGCAACAAAGAACTGTCGAGTCGTATCCAAAGATAACTGGCACGTACTATATGGCTTGTTACTAGCAAAGTAAAAATGATTCATTGCTAGCAGTATCAGGACGACAGTGATTTTATTTGGTAACACCATAGAATTATAAATATCCCGCAGATGTCCCTGAGATGTTAGGATACCAACAACCAAGCCAGGTTCCAGCACAACATCACAGCAAAGACACCAAAGGCACTAGACGGAGGAGGCACGTATAAAACGGCACACTTCTCGCAAGCTCCTGAAAGCCTCCCTAGGGCTTTGAATCTCTGTATATACGCCTGCTATACAAAGGATATTATTACTTGATACTTCTATTGATCCGTCTATCCCTTAATAGCCTTCCCTTACAGGTGAATCTATACATCTAATGTTAGGACCAAGTAGGAGGCACCCATTAATTCCTATTCACTGATCAAGAGAATTATTAATAAATAAGGGATAATATATGGCATTTCTGATATCGTAAATCAGTTACCTTTATCTCTTAATGGAGTTCTCACATCCTCTTGTGCCTCTTGGCTAACGCACCTCATTGTCTCCATCATAAGTCTAGCCAAAATATGGCGTATTTATTTTTCATCGCGATAAAGAGGACATCTATCTGTCAACACCTTCTATAGATTCTGGGAACCCCCCGGGGTGGGGGAGCAAGGAAATAGCAAGAAGCAATTGTCACGGGCCACCCTGTAAGATATGACACTCTTGTTGAAGGGGTAATCTAATTGCCTAAGGGAAGGAGAACTACCTACGGGCAGTCCACTCATACTTGTACATGTGTACGGTTACTTCTCTTTATCCACACAGTTTGCGGACGAGATGTTTGAGTACCATTGTTCAACAACTCTTGAAGACTAACCAGGCAACTGTCACGAGCCCACCGTTGTCCCCAAGTACTCTACGCCCTCCACCCGAATCGGGTGGACGGTATAGAAAGAAAAGGAAAGGATAAGGCAAAGGACGGTTGAGGCACAAGGCTATCGGTTAACGCTGCCTTACCCTTTTCACGTGACAGAAAGAGGGGAAGCTATAAGAGTCTCCTCTCACCTGAATCGGCTGAGAGAGAACTCTTCCTTTTTCTCAAGCGTTGAGTCGTTGTCAATAGGGCTACGTGAATAGAACAAGGCATTCAGCTACTCCAATTCCTTTGTACCTACTGCGTTGCGTAGGTCCCTGATAGCAAGTCACTGTGCAAGGAAAGAAGCGGCCGTACTCTTGCAGTAGTTTCAACATGTCCTACCTGACTCGCCCACCAATTCGGCAGCAAAATCACTGGTTGTAGTTTAGCACCACCCATTACTGTGAGCTTGTCACCTCCCGAGGAGGTATCTAATCGCGCTTGTGTCCACTGTATGGACTACCATTACCGGGACCTCGATGTCCTTCACATACCCATACCCATACCATTCTTTTCCCTTCCATTAAAGCATTAGCCTCCCCTGCCTCCCCTTTCTCCCCTGTCGGCCTACTAGCCCTCCTTCTCTAGAACTAAATGTGCCGGTGGATAGGGTATCATCGATTGTTGGTCTAAACAGGGGAGTGGCCGATGTCCCGCAAGGACTCGATCGAACGAGCAGTATTCCCAGCAGTAACAAGTCAATTTCCTCATAATGACCACGGACATAGTAGCCCTTGCAACTTTAGCGGGTCGGGTTGCGTTGTCATTCTCTTATCTCTGTATTAACCAATTGTGTTTGAATATCATTGATACAGCTTTAACGTGACTTAACAAGACTCGATCTCATTGACCCGATACCTCCCGATTTGGGATATTATTGATACGAAAGATCGCAAAACTTCTTTGCGCTGTATACCGCAGATTGCATAACCAGGTTCCACCGAAGCCATCTCAAAACATGTTAAAAAGGACTTCTTGTCCGAGCATCGAGCACAACAAAACGTCTCTGCAAAATAAAGCAGACCATCGCCATGTTCGATAATCCAACGATAATCCACAATGAGTGCCACAGCAATCAAGAACCACTCGTTTCTGTTGAGAGGGAGTCGATAACTGAAGACACGAGGAGTCTGGCGGCGTCCGAATGCATTGATGTAGTGGCTTGTAAGCGGCGAACAAGAACATTTTGTGACTCAAACAATCCTGAAAACATATCTGCCATCTTCCACCTTTCCCAGATATGCATCGGATGACAGATCGAGCGCTGGGTAGCACATTTGCTCGAAGCTCGTGGAGGTCTCCCTGTGGAAGAACTTGGCATACCCAATACGTTTGAAAACGCCAGGTGGCAAGACCGAAGTTCTTGCAAGTAGCAGTCCTATGGAATGTCGTCTGCCCTCATCAAGAAAGGGAAGCGTTGCAAAACGACCGAAGTATATTACAAATCCTGCCAAAGTCTCACCAGGTGAATGGTACATTGAACCATCATCGAGGTACTCTGCCAGAAAGCCTCGACCAAATCGACGTTGTCCTACGTCGATATACTGAAGGCGAGGGGCACGCGTGCCAAAGCCTGGGCCGAAGTTGACGGGACAGAGTGGCCCACATAGCTCTATACTTGCAGCTGATACTGGCCCGAGAGGTTTTGTCGCATCCACGAGGGATATGTCGATCTGGAGGACGCTGCATGCTAGGTCTTTATTCGGTATGCTTCGCGCACCCTCCGGATTCCAACTGACTGTGCCTTTCACTGATGCCCACGACCAAGAAGGCGCATGATACTTTTCATATCTTGTACTATGCGGCTCGGCATGCCATAGCAGATCTTCTGGAAGATATGCCTTCCACATCCCCGCCGCATAGTCCGATGCCAAGCACCCAAACGCGTCCTGGGTCACTTGTGCGTACCCTGCTAAGGCGACGAGCTTGTCGGAGTCTTTCGTCAGATCGCAGCCAGAGTAGGTGTTTATGGCAGTAAGCCAATGCTGGTCGATTCGCGACAAATCAGCATGGTTGGGCCTTGCTGCAGACGCGAGTGCCGACAGCGCTCGCGTCTTTACCGTGAGGGGGTCTTCGGGAACCCCCTTCGGCCACGTCTCGTTTGCCCGAACTCTCGCACACTCCCATGAGACCTGGTCGGCTGCGAAGTGGATGGTTCTTCGGGACAATAGCCGTTCCTGCAAGACCCATGCTCGCCTACTAAGGACGGAGCGCTCGATTCCAAAGTACCATGCGTACCGGTCGTATATCACATACTCACCGGCAAGCAGCTCATTCCACTTTGCTTTGACGATACAGGGGTTCGCAAGGTATTCATTACGTGCCAGAAAGAGGCCGCCGTCACCATTGGGGGATGCAGTGGCTGCGATGTTGATGCAAGCATTCGCGTATATGCTCGCCATGGCAAGTGCTTGGTCCAGCCAGTCACCGAACGAGTCTTGATTAATACAGAATGCGTCGATCCACAGGTAATGCAACCCTAGCTCTCGAGTATAAGTCACGGCATCCTGGAATGTCTTTGTGAGTTTTGCTAATGGGATGTTCTGCGCAAATTCTGCCTCGTTGCTATGTCGGAGAACTGCCATTCGAGTTGTGCCCCAGCAGTGGCTGAGAGTGGCATATGAAATGTCTGGTGGAAGAGTCTGACCTTCAACGATTCTTAACCTCGTCGACGCTGGGCCATCGATGATTTCAACCAACCTGGCTGGCTTCACAGTGGATGAGAGTGAAGCCAATTGTCGGCATTCGTCGTGGTTTTGTTGGCAATCACTTATCCACTTCTTCACATCAACCAAAGTACGGCTTCTGACGGCAACTGCCACATCGTTCTCAATGCCTAGGTAGTACCATTGAAGCTGTCAATACCGAGTAACGTTGCTGCACCTGCGGTGACTTTACATACTGTGGATTGGGAGTAGAGTCACCCCTATCGGACCATACACATGGACAGGAGCTCCATTCTCGTTGATGTAATACGAGAGCCTCAGGTCCAGAGCATCCGAAATGTTCTCTTCTGGCAGACGGTCTATCGTTATTACTCCATTGAGGTGAGGAGAGTGCTCTTCCAAGAGTCTCCGGTGCTCTTTATTCGCCCATTCGAGTATTGCGGTGTCCTGTGGAAGGCGCTGCGATAACAGATTGCATAGGTGGCAGCCACTAGCAGCAGCCAGGACAAGAGCAGCCATGTTGTGATGTACGAGGATTCGAGATGTGGAAGATCGACTGACTCTCGGTGGCAGCTTCGGGCGTCTATCACGATCCTCCGGCTGGCTGTCACCAGATATTGAGACGAGATCTTCGTCCGATGCTTGATTTTCATCGTCAGAAAGTGCATCTATGTGTTCAAAGGGCACGCGGTCTATTTCTGGAGGCTGATTTGGGCCCTCGAAAAGTCTTCGACACTTTTCGCAAAGGTTGCTCGGTCTCATATTGATGATCCTTCCATCCAACACGATACACACAAACCTATTTCAAGCAATGGGATTGAAGCAATTTAGTAGTGGGCAGCAGTATGATGGTAGAGGCGAGGCTGTTGAATGAAATTCAAGGGAAATATGGTTTAAGGTGGCATGATACTTGTGCAGCACTTTGGGAGACTGCACCAGGCTCGGGAGAGTAGCATGGCAGCAGAAGGAGGTTATGGACTCCGTCTTAGGTAGACAGAAACGTGATTCGGGACTTACAAAGGGGAGGTTAACCGAATCCCCCTCCCCCCGGTGATGTTGCGTAGCGCCTGCAACAATTGGAATCGTGATAACACTAATACCTAGCTAGCACATGTGTACTTATTAGGAGGTCAACCGACGCTAATCCATATTGGCCTACAGCGATTCTGGTCGTGGCTCCATCCCGAGACAAAGATTCTTCGGAATTTATGCTTCGGTGGAAAGTAGTTTTGTAATCTACTACAAGACAAGGTATAAAAGCGCACAAAGTTGCTCATTGTTACATCTGGAGGATAGGATCTAGGGTTTCAAAACTGAAGCTGCCAAAAGTCGCGTCCGAGAAGATCTCCGCTGTATAGCCCGCCATAGCCTGATCGGCACCCCGCAAGCCTGCATCACGGCCTGGAAGATAGTCCATCGAGCTCTGCGCCCTATGGACTGGCCTCTGCTGCGGAGTCATTTGACCAGTAAATGCTGGATTAGAGAAAGGTAATGCTTGAGCCTGGGAATCTGTGGGTATTCTGAGTCTGCTGTACACGTTCTCGGTGTCTAGAATGAAACCCTGAGCTATGGTCAGAGGCATCATTAACTCAAAGTACTGCCGGCATTGAGTCAATGTCGGGTTGATGTCGCCAAAAGAACGCAGTAAGGTCATGGCTTTTTCGATGGCGATGTTGATGGCGTTATCATCGAGGCACCTCAGCAGATTCTTTCGTGCCCGGACTGCGAATAAGGTGGCCAGCGTGGTGAAGATGACTTGGTGAGATCAGATTGGCTCCTGAGGACAGAGAGAGGGAGATGGCCTGTTTAGAGTGCTTACATTGTAGAAGAAGCCACCACGGCCCCAAGCTTTTCTGTTCATAGTATTCCTCAACGAGTCGGATCAAGTCGCAAGAACATTGGACACATTGCTGAATGCTGGCGGTTAGAACGGCTTGCAAAAAGCCGTCATTGCCTTCTAGGCTCTCTAGTCCTTTGTCCAGGCGAAGGACTGATATCATGTTCGGTCTATGAATCATGAGCCTGGTGTGCAAATAACGAGTCTGCAGACTTCTCTGCTGTTTGCGCAGCTTCGGGTTGGAATTGCTGTAGTCAAATCGGAGGTGTTCGGGAAGTCCTGAAACCCAGGTAGCAAGTTTGCTCTCCTGTTCAAGAGCCCCTGATATTTGGGTATAGATGACTTCTTTCGTAACCTCCTTTGCTAATCCGCCGTTTGCTATCCTTTTGGATGAGACATTGGCGGAACTGGACGAGAGTGCTGTTTCAGATATATGGATCAGTTGCATTAGCGAATTGAAAAAGTGAAGCTGTGAAGGCTGTCGTCTTGGATCTTGGGATTTGGCGATGTATGCAGGTAGGATCTGGTCATCATCCACCGCCGCGGGTTGAACGCAGTGGCCAGCTTCGATGTTCAAAGCAGGTGGTCGACCGTGCTTTAAACTAATGAATCTGGAACCAGTCAGAGTTCATCAAGAGCACCATGCAAGCAGATATCGAATACCTATCAAGAGAATAAATCGACCACCAAAACCTTTTGCGCAGCTCTTTCTCCATCATGCTGATATCCCAGTCCGATGGGTCCAGATGCAAATTTAACGCCTGCGCAGTCCTCACGAGCAAGCCAGTGTTGATCCACATTCGGTGAAATTGCATGCTGCTATTGAGATGCAGTGTCACAAGAAGAAGAGCTTGAACAACTTCGAGGGACGCCAGCTCGTAACAGACAAGAAGAATCAAATCGGTCGCTCGTTCGTGAAACGTCTGAGCCAGTTCGTATGTTCGTTTCAAGTCAAGGTCGAGGTAGTCACATCCATAGGCAAAGACCACGTTGATGACGCTGCTGAAAGCTATGCTTGCTGATTTGTGGTCATCGTAGAGTGCGTCCAACTCTTTCCGGAAACTGGGCTCGTGCACCAATGGCAAAATTGGAGCCACATTGTCGAAGAACAAATCGACTAAGCGGTGGGCGAGTGCACGTGGAGGAAGGACGAAGCAATTCTGGTCCGGGATTTCCTCTCGGATGTCGGCATCTGTGTCTTGGTGAGAGAAATCGTCGTCAGGCATATCACTTGATGCTGTTCGTGTCGCGTCCGAGGGCGAGGTCCCAGATGGCGCGACGCCAAAGTCTGCCAATGCCGAATGTATCGACACTTCTCCTAGTTCACTTGTAAGTCTATTGGGACAAGTCAAGACCTGGGACGCTGACTGTATCTTATGACTTTCACTAGGTCATGGTCCTTTTCAAGCGAGGTACTGTTTGCGTCAGACAAGACAGGTTGGATGTTTTCGACCTGAATAGTCCTCGTCCGAGGTTGAGGATTCCGACAATGGAATTCGCGCACAAGTGCGTCATCAGTCTGTCGAGGGAGAGAAGGGACATCAAAGCTGGACCTCCCTCCAATTTGCCTGAGTTCTTGCTCGAGGCTTCGCACCTTGTGCTCGAGCGTCTCGACATAACTGCAGTACCGCACAATCAGGACGACTCGTTCCTCTCAAGTATACATGACGCTCACCCTCTATCTATACCAGAGAACTTGCCAGGACTGTCGTAAATGCATCTCAGGCCCCTCTTATTGCAAAAAGAGCAAGCCGGACGGGATCCGTCGCATTTGTTCTTCCGTTTCCTGCAGGTGAGACAAGCTTGGCCAGAACGCAAACGGTCGATGCCACCGTCGTAAAGTTGGGAGGTATGTGCATCCATATCTAGGTTTACGTGGGTGTCATGCTGCTCTGCACAGAGAAATATAAATTGAAGTCAGTGGTCGGAAGAGGCACTGGAGAGGCGCTGGTCAGAAGCCCAAACAGCATTTTAAGCGGGGCATGACTGGAAGCCTAATTAGGCCTAGGCCCAGTGAGCCTAAGGCTGGGGAAGGTTGCGGGGTTGGGTGGGTTATTGTTGGCCTGGGGAGAGACCACGAGATCACTACCATGGACCCTCCAAGGCTAATGAGCTCGGGACCAATCCCCGAAGGCCCCTTGATAGTGAGAGCTGCGCAACTGAAACCAAGTCTACATAATCCTATCAACAAATTTGGGTTCCTTTGGAGGTTGGGACGGTTCGTTGTGGCCATTTAGGTCTATGTTCTGATTTTGCCATCGGGACAGACCACTGTGCCTCTGATGTTATACAATACAACCGAACTTCCAGTGCCTAGAGCTTAAAGTCGCGCGTGGGGTTGTACTTCCCCTTTGACCCATGGGCTTGCATCCTCAACCTTGAAATCAAATACTCGATGGTTCTGCCCCTGTGGAGGGATGTTCTTCGGAACATACTCAGTTCTGTTCTGTATCGATTTCGCAGCAGCATCGAATTCTTCATACGCATATTTCTGAGGGTCATGTCCGAATAACCAGCTGGGAAGAGGCATAGACAGAGACTGAGGATTCTTCTTAGCAAGCTCCCAGTCAGTCTTATGCCAGATCTCCCGCGTTTCTTTGCCAATCTGTTGTGCCAGTGACGCACGAGCATATCTGTGATCAATGAGTGGACGAAAAATCATCATGGACGAAGAAGATTACCTCAGTCTTTCGCATGTGCGCAAGGCCAGCGGCACTTTGGCTTTCCCGGCAAGCTCAAGGCAAATGGCAATTGTGGCCCCGTCTTCGATCGCCTGCCCGGCTCCCTGGGCGCTGGTTGGTAAGAATGGATGTGCAGAATCACCAATGAGGATAATCCTGGCGTGCTCAGAAACCCATTTTGGGAGAGGATCTCGCCAAACCAATTTGTAGTCGACCAGTTGGTTCTTGGGGGTAGCCAGGACAACGTCAAAAATACGCTCGTGCCAACCCTCGACATAGTTCAGCACATCCTCGTGTTTTCCAGGGAACGACCAGGACTCCGCCACATTATCATATTCGTCCTTGTGCGTTATTGTCCATACTACGCCCTTCATCCCAGAGCATGTCCCCAGAATGCAGTGCATGTCGTTTCCAATATATGTTTCCATCTTGTCGGAATCGCCCTCGAACATCCATGCGAGCTTGGGATTTTTCTTGGCCTCGGTCGCATCAAACCAAGCTCGATAGGTAGCATAGCCAGTCGGGTACGGTCGATCGCCAATGCCCACCACGAAACTGCGTGCCTTCGAATGGACACCATCGCAAGCTATGACGCAGTCTGCGGATATCTTTTTACCCTCGACCACGATACCAGCGTCGGTTTCCGTCTCGAAGTAATCTTGAATGCGTTTGCCAAAGTGAACGGGGACACCCAGATCTCGGAGATGATTCGACAGAATAATCGCCATAGGGCCACGTGGAGCGGTGTATCCAGAGCCAGCATTGTAGCCCACCATAGGTTGAGGGTAGAGAATCTCGCCAGTGTCAAATCTTCTGATATTGTTCGCCCGCCATGAGGACAGGATGGGTTCAAGTCTTCGGTGAACACTACCGTTCCCCCATTTGGCGACTATTTGCGCTGCGTTGCCAGTGATACCAATAATATCGCCAAGCTGTGAGATGCCCGGCCATTGTTCGTACACGACTACGTCGTGACCTTTGCGATGGCATTCGACAGCAGCAGCTGCTCCAGAATATCCAAGTCCAACTATGATGACTTTGATTCCGCTCGATCTTGGGTAGGCAACACCATCCGGCCCAACACCCTTCATTTTGCGAGTGCAATACTCGAAAGCAGAGATTGAAAGTTATCGGCTTTGGGTTTCTGGATTCGAAACACCCTCAAAAGCAAGGGCCATTCTAGACCCAACATCGGGGCGTGCGGTGGTACTTCTCGAGTCCATTTTGGGGGCCGGTCTCTCAGCCTCGAGGCATTGGTCAAACATGGGACATCTACAACTCAGCCGAGGGCCCCTCCCTCAGAGAAGCTTATCGCAACCCCGAAGGCGTGGACAACATGTTGACGGTAATCGTTTCGAGCGTTCGGGGCCCACTCCGGGCATTTGGAGCAAGATTCGGGCCCACTCCGACGGTTACTCCAACATAGCCATCCAATTATGAGCTTTGAAGCTGACTGCCTCAAACATAGAGACCGTTAGCCAATGAGAGATGAGTCAGGCTTGATCAGCCCCTTTTTCTCTGCTATCGAAGGAGCAATTAGAACCCTGAGATTAACAGTTTCTAAAACAGAAAAGCTGACTCATCACTTTCGACACAAGCCCGGCAAGTCCTCTGGCCACCGACAATGTCACTTGCCAATCTGCTGGGAAATATTGCGTATCAAGGAGAGAAGTTAGAGAATTTCCTTGGGAACGACACGCCTTCTCTCTTCGAAACTGCTGCGTGGAAGTACGACGATGAACTACTGCCACGTGAAGCATGGGAAGCGTCCCAAATGTTGATAGCAGACTGCCAACAACTGATAGCGCTTCTCATGCCTAGAAAACTGAAGTTGATGTACGAGAGCATCTCAAACAATGCGGCAGTGGCTTTGGCAGTTGCGTGTGATCTAAAAGTTGCCGACAAGATTGTGGAGAATGGTGGAGAGATGACATTAACTCAGTTGGCCAGAGCCTGCGAAACTAATGAGCATAAACTTGGTGAGCACCACTGTTCTGAGAGAACTTGATCCTGTGTTGACGGTCTTGTTTCAGGATGTACCATGCGAGTATTGACTCATCGCCATGTCTTTACGGAAGTCGCACCTGATGTGTTTCGAAACAACCGCCATAGCACAGAACTGGTATCTGGAAATGGCGCGCGAGAATGTTGTCTGCTCGAGTACATCTACCGTAATGCCCTTTGATCCGCTCTGTGCTAAATATCTCTTGCAGAACTCACGACGCATATAAAGCAGGGCCGGCCTGGCTTACCATCATGAAAGACCCAAAACGGGCGCACAGCATTGACGCAAAGGACGGAGCGTTCGCTGAAGTTTTCGGCAAGAGTGTCCTCGAATACATTTTCACACCCGAAGGTGCCTCCTGTATGACAAACATGACTGTCGGAGTACCGTGGATGTCGACCATCACCGTAGCAGCCACACGTTCCGACTTACCGTGGGACAGCTACGGATCGACAATCTGTGACGTTGGCGCTGGTTTGGGTAGTGTGATGCTAGAGGTCAAGAAGACGTTTCCGTCCTTGAACGTGATATGCCAAGAACTCGAGCACATGATTCCAGTCCTGAAGAAGGTACTTCTGACACTCTATGATTCCCTGGCCTGTCTTCTAACACTTGCAGACTTTTGAAGGCTATGAAGAGGAAATGGAACGAGGAGAAATAAAGCTCGAGGTGCATGACTATTTCACTCCTCAAGAAACTGTCGCCGAGGTTTACTGGCTACGTGGCGTTATGTAAGGGGGAATTTCTCCGTGTATCCATCCCGAGGACTGATTGGATGCACAGACGAGAGTACGAGGACGAAATCGCTGCCAAAGTATTGGCAAATCTGAAGCCTGCCCTGAAAAAGAACCCAAAAGCAAGAGTGTTTGTAAATGAGCTTTTCATTCCTCGGCTTATTACGCCCAAAGCAGCGTCCAGCAGCACAGCCTCACAAAACATGTCAAGACAACAATCCGGATGGCCTGTGATCACACAGATGCAGCAGCTCGGTGGCCAGCAACTCTTCAGTGGAAAGGAGCGAACACTGGAAGAGATCAGGAATATTGGCGAGATGGCGGGTTTGCGATTTGTCAAATATCATAGATTCAGGATGTTTACTGGAGTCGCCGAATTCGAGCTCCCTTCGAGCTCGAAGTTGTGAGTGGTTTGAATGGTCAGAGCGGCCTTCGAACCTGTGGTGCCAGTTTCCTAACGTGGAGGAACAGTGTGGTAAAGCCTCGGGATGGAGGTCCTCAAGACCTCGAAGGAGGGAGAAAAGACCTATTCAGAAGTAACAACAAGTCAAAGTAACATTTCTGAAAGGTTGATCTGATGTTTGACAAGGTTCCCTGATATGCCTTTTCTTGACCCTTTTTAATCGTAAACCACAAAATTGCTCCCGTCCAGATCTATAACATCCTCCATCGTCCAATTCTTATGCCGATAACCATCAGGAACATTCTTTGGCTCAAAGTCCCGGTTGTTTCTTATGCAGTCAGTCACTTCGTCAAAGGACTGATAAGCGTAGGCTTCAGGATCCCCACCAAACAACCAGTACGGCTGCCTGAAGTCCAGGATCTTCGGATCTTTTTTCACAGCCTCCCAATCTGTTCGATGCCAGAGATGGCGCAACTCCCAACCCATACGTTGAGTTAGATTTGTCCGAGTGAAACTGGATGAGGTCAGTCAGGGCGCACTTGAGTCATGAGAGTAGACAGGAGAAACTCACCGGATCTTTTCGTATGCACGCAGCCCCAGAGCGATATTCTCCTTGCCAGCTCGATCAAGCACTGCTCCCACGGTCGCACCATCCTCAATTGCCTGGGCTGCCCCCTGACCAGAACTAGGGAGGTGCGGATGAGCGGCGTCACCCACAAGAGCGATCCTACCATGTTTGGAGACCCAGGATGAGGCGGGATCCCTCCAGAGTAACTTCCAGTCGATCAGCTTCTCGGGTGGTATTGATTCGAAAATTGTTCTCAATTTTTCATCCCACCCTTCAATAACTTTCAGCAAGTCCTCTTTCTTGCCTGGAAAGCTCCACGACTCCTCGGCTGTGTAAGTGTCCTGTATAGCCCCAGTTGGCATAGTTCAAGAGGATACGAGAGCATGCAAAGGGAGAGAATATGTTTGTTATTAAGCACTCACCTTGTGCGTACAGAAACATGCCAACCACTGCAATTTCACGTTGGTCATGACGAGTGCGTGAACGTCTGGTCCAATCCAAGTCCAATATCGGTCTTCTTTTGCATTGATGATGTCGCCAAGTAGAGGGGATTTGGGCAGAGCTTCAATTGGAAACCAGCAGCGGTATGCTGCGAAACCACTTGACTTGGAATTTTCGGGGCTTCTATTGACCAAAGACCTGGCTTTACTATGCACTCCATCTGCTGCTATCACGGCATCTGCAGTGAGCTTCTGATCCCCGGAATAGACCCCGGCTTCATGCTCGTCTTCGAAATATCGAGATATGCGAACACCAAAGCGAACTTCAACACCGATCGATTTTGCATAGTCAAAAATGATTCGGTGCGCACGACCACGGCTAGGGTAAATGATGGGGAAGCCATCATAATTCAGAGGCAAGACCTGTTTGTTAAGGAGCTCTCCTTGAGAGTTCTGACATTCTAGGAATTTCGGTCGGGCTGAATCTTCTGCAACTTTTGCAAGGACATTTCCCCATTTGGCTAAAGTCCTAGATGCGTTCGAAGGTATTTGGATAGTGTCACCTGTCATTAGCATCCTCAGTATCATGCTATGCTGACGCGATCCGGGACCGATGATGACTGACCTTGTTCAGTAAGTGTTTTGGTGCTCTCAAGGACCAGGACAGATGCCCCCTTCCGCCTCAATTCTATTGCGGTGGTGAGGCCCCCAAATCCGGCACCTACTATTATCACGCTGACGTTGTCGAGATTCGACATATCTTTAGTGGTAGAAGGATTCTAAGACTTCAAAGTCCTCTCAAAGGAAATCTGCTGGTTCAGTACCGAGTGATCTTCCGATGCCGGCACACTAATACTGAGATATTTACTGGGTAGGTGATCTGAGACTGGCCCGCTGAATACTCCATGTGCCTATAAACGTGATTGCCACAAAGATACTACTTCTGGGCAAGTACATTCTAAGATGGGGATATGCTGCCCACCCCGAGCGTGGAGACTGCATGGGGATTTTGCGGTGGGATACTAGGTGGGGTTGACCTTCTTCTCACTCGGATTGCCACTGCAGAAGTTTACTGAGGAAGCCGAATGACTCCCGAGGAAGAGATTATCTCAATTTTTGCTTACCAGACTCCTTTCTTGATGTACGAAGAGTAATAATGACGGCTGGCGAGAAGTTGATCGTCATCATCGGTGCAACTGGCACGCAAGGGGGCTCAGTTGTCGACTCCTTTCTTAAACTGCCTGGCTGGAGACTTCGAGGTGTCACGCGTCACCCATCAGGCTCAAAAGCCCGGAAATTGGCAGCTCGGGGCGTTGAGATCGTCGAAGCAGATCTCGACGACTTGGAATCACTTATACGTGCATTTAGTGGAGCTCATGTCATATTTGGAGTGACGGACTTTTGGAAGCCGCTGAGCGACGAAAATCTCAGCAAAAATCGAAATCAAGCACAAGACCTAAGCCGGTGGGGTTATGAGTACGAGCTTCAACAGGGAAAAAACATATTCGACGCAGCAACAAAAATACCCACCTTGGAGCGTTTCGTCTTCTCTACCATTGCCGACGTGGCCGAACATAGTGAAGGAAAGTACACTGGTGCTTATCACGCAGATACAAAAGCGCATGCGGAGCGGTATGGAAGACAGAGATACCCTGAGCTCTGGAAGAAGACGAATACTATTCAAGTTGGTGTATATTTGTCAAATTTTGCAAAACTTTCCACAGAGATGCCCAAGAAAGTACGTGCGTCGAAGACCAAACTTCCGAGAAAGCAACTAAAATTCAACTATCCAGGAATCAGATGGGTCTTTCAACTTCGTCAGTCAGTTTGCTGTTGAAACTCCACTCCCATTCATTGCAGCGGACGAAGACACTGGCCCACTAGTGAAAGCCTTGCTCAATGAGCCTCCAGGGACAAAACTCATGGGCTACAGAGCCTGGATGACATTTGGAGAATTTGTCGAGATATGGAGAAAAATACTCAATGTCAAGGCCAAAGTCACTACAATTCCCATCAGTGATATCTTGGACAAGATGCCAGGGGACCTGGACTCTGGTGTTAGAACAATGTTGGGAGAAGGCATGGCAAACATGACAGAGTTCGGGTACAAACTGCGAGAAGATCCCGCTTTGACACAACCTTACGAAGTGAGTCGAGCCTTCTTCTTCCCTCAAGAACACCTAAATGCACGTCAGCTAATTCTCTGCCAGCTCCGACATCAGCCTCGACTGGGTAGTGTGGAAGAATGGGTGAGGAAGCAGGACTGGTCTGCAGTGCTGAATAATGAATAAATTCTGTTACATGTTTTGAGCGAGCATGCCGCGGTCTTGTCGTTAGTTCCGCGAAGACACCCAAAACCAATGATCGTAGCCTTTAGAAGTGTCAGAAAGGAAGACATACCCAAGTCCCTGATTTACTGTCTCTATGGCTAGTTGGTCGCAGCATCCCACAGGCATTCCACAGGCAATCCACCGTCTCAATCTTTGAAAAGAAGCAGTAAACTCGGGCATAACTTCCACAAGCTCGCCCCCGCAGCCCAGTTCCGACAAGGAAAGTTACTTTCTGTGGCTCCTGCAAACCAAGCCGATGTGGAGAATCGGGGTCTTGCCGCCGAGTGTCCGGTGGGTCCTGCTGAAATCAATCAAGGCCACTGTTGGAGTACCGAGATGCCCGTTTCTAGCTAGTCATAGCCTCGACGCCCAAAAGTGCAGATACACCGCAGAAAGATTTCATAGCGTCATTTTATCCTATTTTGATCTTATTTGTGTTTTTTTTTTTTGAATAGAATATTGGAGGCCTATCGACGCTTTGAATTCCTTGAGAAAATATCAAAACCATCATGGCTAGTGCTGCGGAGTCAGAATGGATGGACGAAGTATGGCCATCAACGGGTGGTTTGAAAGGAAGTATACTGGCTGACCCAATCTCCAGAACAATCTGACAACAGTCAAAACGCTGCGAGAGAAATTAGGAATGCCCCCAAGCAAGGTATGTCCGCCGAACACGCTCCCTTCTCCTTGCTGAGCTGGCCACGGAAAAAAATCAACAAAATATCAACAAAAACAAAATAGAGATCAATTCACAAAATGTTGCAACCTAACATTCTATATACGACGCCTACCAGTATCACAATCCGTCCCTAGAAAAAGAAGAAGAGGAAATCCTCGCACACTACAAAGCCTGGATCCACTTCAACCACACCGACTTCGGCAACAAATCACGGGCCAAATCCTTCTACGATCTCCCAGAAACCATGTACTTCGACCTCATGAAGGTGATCCCCCGCGGTGGCTTCAGCCAACACTACGATAGCATTGACGCGTACTACGACGACTCGCACCTCGCGTGTAAGGATTTGGAAATCGTCGCCACGTCTAAGCAGACTGGGTACGCGACGATGATCCAGCGATACTGGGGCACGGGGACTGATGGGAGGGAATTTTCCTTCACGTTTAGGATGACGAGTTTGCTGACGAAGGTGGAGGGAGGGCAGTGGAAGTGGATTCATGAACATGTTTCGTTTCCCGCGGATTTGGAGACCGGCAAGGCTGATTTCACCTGTGGAACGGGCACGTCAGGAAAGCCTGCTTGATTGAAATTTGTATCAGGATTAGGTCATGATTGTGAGTATATCCTGTGCACCACTCAGGTAGTAGGCTTACAAGCCCCCTTAATCATTGACTGCCCCTTACAGCATTAACAGTGGTCTCCATTGGTGATGGTCTTTTGCATTGCATCCATCTGGAAATCTGATCCTCGTAAGCAAACGTTGATCCACGATCACAGCGAGGCCTTCAGCGTCGACACGACATTGGTGTCTTCCAAAAAACAGTCAATCATCCGATGATACATGCCCGGATTCTGAATAAAAGTGAGATGTCCCGCGCTCGGCATCTTGAGATAACTCGAGTTCGGAATGAACTTTGCCATGCGGTCATGTGTCTCTGGTGGAATCCACTCGTCATGGTCACCCGTCACGATCCAAACGATCGGAGC